TGAAAGCCCAAATTGACAAAGGCTTAATGGGACACAGGTGTTCATCAATGTAAATGGAAAGGTCACTCTAGGTTATATTGAAGCTGACCAGGAAATATATCAACTCATTTGCCAAACATATGGTATACTTTGAGGACACAGTGATATGGAGTTAATTGTGAAGTATTGTAAATGGACATACAGAATATTTTTCCCCAGTATTACTATCTTTTAATAAAATTTGAAATAAAAGGATCCTCTTCTTATGTGCACATAAACTTTATTTCTTTCCTTTTTTCCTTTTCTTTTCTCTCTCTCTTGTACACATAAAGAGACCTCCTGTATTATCCAAACTGAATCACATTCCAGATCTGCCATCTATAACTCCAATAAATTATCAGAATAAATTTAGAAAACATCCTCCTCCTAATTAGCATCTCTCTTTTCTTGGTTTTGCCTAATTAGAATTTATAGTCACCAGTCAAAGTTCAGTTGGGTTAATTCACTCATCATCTCCATTCTTTATGAAAGCTAAAATATTCTCATCTTTGAAGTGAGTCTCAATCATATCCAATAAATATTTATAACTTCTACTTCAAATGTAATATGTAATATCTCTGTTGCATCTTATCACATTTGGGCCTACAAACATAATTTAATATATTTATCATTTTATAAAAGTATTGTATTCAGCTCTTTTAGTATTTGTGAACTACTGACATATATTAATCAGTATACAATTAACATATCCATACATGAAAATGATTATTGGCAGCAAAAAGTTAAACTTTTGATGATATTTCTAAGTAAGGATTACTAAGTAAGTAATTGGGAAACAAAGCGAAGTAACTCTTTACTCAGTGCTAAAATGAAGCAGATTGTGAATTCAAATTGCTAACCTAAGATCTGTTTTTATTCAAATGAACAAAATAACTGTTTCTTTTGTTGTCTTTTAACTTTTCCTAACACATTTGTCAGTTGAAGACTAAGACTAATTTATTCTTCTTGCCTCCTTTACCTTTTTCTCCCCCTCTCTCTGCATGTATTTGTTTGTTGACATTATGATGCAATGGAAAATGGAAAATGCACCTGTGGAAGAACAGAACTGGATAAAAACAGAATTGGAAGAGGTTAGAGGAGATTCAAAGGATGAATAAATGTTAAATATAATAAGACATATTCTGAAACAGGGGGATTAGTTTAATACATGATGGAATGATGCTGGAAAAAATAACAGCTATATTCATGCATTTATGTATTAGGTAAGGCAAAAAGGGAGAGAGAGACAGATGTGGCTTTCAAAAGGCATATGAAAGAGCTAAGGGTAAATATATGTCAAACACCAATTTATGTCATGATGCACATCAGATAGATGATAGGTAGGTAGATGCTTTTAAATAGATTTCACCAATTGCTATAATTTTATTTACCCTTTTATTAAGGAAGTCACTACAATATGATTTGATGGTGACTATTTATTCCTCTTACTCGTGGAAGCAGTATCTTCTACAAACAGTATAGCAATAATAGTTGACACCGTTATTGTACTTTAAAAAGTTAGAGCAATTAGGAATTTCAGCTTAAAACAATGTTCATTACATTTACTTATTTTTGGCAGAAAGAGATACCCTAGAATGTACAGGGTGGGCAATTGTCACACATCATAGATGTAAAAGCTAAGTGTTTGTGTGATATAGGAGCACTACTTTCGTTGGTGCAAATGAAATGATTGTTATATAAATATGTTGAGTGCTGTTTTAGTCTCAATTTGAATTGCATCATCAGGCTTATCTTACCTAAACCTGGGCACTAATAATGTTGGGCCATGTAAGTAACAGACTACCAGGGAGCACCAGACTTGTGGGATGCACCAGGAAATCAAAAATAAAATAGAAAAATAAAGAACCTAGGAGGGTACTGTGGTAAAGCAGTTCTATACTGTTGTTTTACATATATGACTGCATCTATATGTAAAGGAAGTCCCTAGGATTCAACCTTGACAATGAGATTTTTTTTTATCTTCGGTATAGCAGAACTGCTTCTTTTGTACAAATACACACACAGGCCAAGAAATTTTAGGCCATAAGATGATGCCGAAAGATGTGTCACCACAAAGCTTTGTATATGGCTATCCAGTAACTAAGTAAATTAAAAAACTCAAAAAAATGCCCCACCTGAAACATTATAATAAATGCAATATTAAGGCACAAATGCAGTATCAAGCAGTGTTTATGTTTTGTGCTATACAGTCAGGTACAGAAATACATATGCAATTTTTCAGCAGAAAAACAAAATACCAGAAATTAAACCAGTAGTGCAATCTGTTTAAAGTCATTGCTTTGTGATCTTTTGTGCACAGCTCTGAATTAAATTCAGTCTTTGGCAGCATTCATTTCTTCTCATTTACTTGTTACATGTTAGCGATGCTTCTTTCTTCAGTTCACAAGATACACAACTATGAAAAATAGTGTTTTTTAAGTATCCAAAAGAGTGTAATGTTCATAAACATGCATTTTCTTTCGGTTGACTGATTTGAATCATTCAAGATGGAAAAGAATTTTATTTTTGGGAATATAGAGCTCTTAATTAACATCTTTATAATCGGCATGCCTATTTATATATCTATTTTAGCAAAATTTCTATGCACCTATGATCTCCCTCTTAAAAAAGGCCATTTTCTTAATGCTTCCATAAGACAGCATCAACAATCTGCTCCGTAGCTGTTGGTTGAGACATTCTCATGATCACATTTAAGGACATGTGGAATGTTAAGCTGATGCAATATCAAGCACTAGAAAAAAACAGTACATGATACAGGTTTCAAAGGGTTAAAGTCAAAGTGTCCTCTGCTGCTCCCATTTATTGGATATTGATGGTTAATTGGTAGAGTATGATAATGAAGTAATCTTGAGTACCTAACATTTTTACAGAATCCTTGAGCAAAATGGGATATGATCTATCTGAAGAGAAACAAGAGAATCGGATATGTTGTAGAAAATACCTGCTAAGTCACTTTTTTCTTTTCTTTTTCTTTTTAAAAGGGAGTCTAGCATACCAAAGATGGTTTACCTCACCCTAAAAAACTCGCACAGGTAGTCATTGTGCTTAACAGCTTTTCCTGACAAGCTTCCTTCCAGATCACATGGATATATCAGTGAGACAAATATCCACCTAAATTTAAATATATCTGCAAGACATACCCACCGGATATGGAGTCAGTTTGGACTAGTGGTTAAAGGCATCAGGCTAGGAATTGGGAGAGCTTAAATTCTAGTCCCACCTTAGGTATGAAAGTTGCCTGGGTGACCTTGGTCTAGTCACTCTCTCTCTCTCTCAACCCAATTCACACGGTTGTTGTTGTGGTGAAAACAGTGGTGAAATAAGTATTAGGTATGTTTTCTATCTTGAGTTATTCATAGAAATATTAACGACAGGATTAAAAGAATCTTAAAAAAATAATCTTTCCTCATTCATCAAATATGCATCCATGAGGAATGCACCTATACCATGATTGATGTGGGTTAGGAATGGTGCACCAGTGATATACAACAATCCCTATGTGCTGAAATTAACAGATAAAGACACATCTAATTAGGAAATTCATACACTAAGGCACCCAGTGGGGTATATACAGACTGTTTGCATATCTGGTTTACTGCTCCCAGCTCCAAACACACTTGGGGTTGCAAGCACCACTGCATTATTTTCAATGTTTAATCCCCCATTGGATGGCTGCTTACTCTCTTATAATCTCTTCTTCTGTAGTCTTTCCACTCTACCATGGGGGTAAAAAACAACAACAATAGGTTAGGCACAGAACAATGTGTACAATATAGATCACATGATGATGCAAAGGTCATAAATGCAGGCTTTGGTTGTAAAGTCATTTTTTAAATATTGTCATAATTTCAAGCCGTCAGTGAATGAGGCCCTCATTAAGTGCAGATTAGTTCTGTGCTTTTAGTTCTGCATATTTTCTTTCTAACACTGCCTGTTATCATCTCATCCTTGTTACAGTTGAGCTTCCAGCATCTGACCTTTTATTATTATTATTCTACAATCTTTGGAACATTTTGACCATTTGTGTCAGAATGATCAGAGCCAAGGAACTCATCAAAATGGAGAAATAGCCATTTTGTAACTTACAACAATGAACTGTGTACTCCCTCATTCAACATGTCAGATCTGTAGAATGGATTTGAAGTTTAGCCTTCTTGAAAGTCAAACATAATTTTTAAAAAAATGCTTGATAGGATCAGTTTTTCATTATAATTTCTTTCAGTTCATCCCAAAATGTACAGGAAGGTATCCCATGCCTTTATCAAAAACACTTACAGTAGAAGTAAGTAGTTTCCCATAATTTGTATCTCTGGCATTATACAGTTTATGTAAATATCAAGTACTAGAAAAGTCAACTAGTTTGAAATCAACTCTAATCATAAGCCAGGCAGATAAATAGTTAGCATGGATCCAAGTTACAGAATTGTTTAAATAAATAAGCAAACTATATGCTATGCATAAAATTATTGATGAAGGTAGAATTACAATACTATTAATTTTAAACTACTTGACTTAAAATCTAAAAATGTGTCTATACAAACTAATTTTATGCAAGGGTCTACTCTACAGATAGTTCTCAACTTACAACCATTCATTTAGTGACCATCTGAAGTTAAAACATCAGTGAAAAAAGTGACATGACTATTTTTTCAGTTACAATGTTGTAGCATCCCCATGATCATATGTAACTTTGGTAACGGAGTCATTCCGCAATTCATGAAAATAATAGGATATCCTAGTTCAACTATTCAAATTCTTCTGGTTCAATTTGAACCCCATTTCATTTGGAATACACACAAACTGAAATATACATATTGAAAAAAAATGGCTTAGGTGATTTACATTAGTAAATTTGTATAAGAAAGAAAATAATATTTTAAGCATAACATAAATATACTAGATCAATATGAATTATATATTAATCTTATTTGATTCCTGTTTTAATTTTAAAAAATCTCACTCAAAATTATTTCAGAAAGAAGGGTATTAGAGTATTTTGTCTATGAATCAGATTTTCTTACTCTTTTCAGCAACAAAATAAATTGAACTTTGATTAGTTGCATACTAATGACCAATACGAAACTTGAAATATTTGCTCACTTTGGGAATTGCATTTTTTAAAAATAAAAGCAGCAAGAGCAAGTCCATTCTTATGAAACTGCAGCAGAACAGCCAACCACATTCATTCTTCAAACATGTGTAGAATTAGTAACTGGAGGCGTGTCCATATTACTCTTATTATCTTTCACTTCATTCAGAGGCGAATTGTGACCAATCTGACACTCAAACACTTGCTTATAGGCTTTTCTAAAATTCTCAGAAAGGAATGCATATATAATAGGATTCACTGAAGAATTACTGTAAGCCAGGCAATGTGCTGTTATTCTGAAGAAAAATGAAGCTTGAGTTAGGGGGAAGTCTCCAAATTCAGCCCAGAGATGGATGACATGATGTGGCAACCAGGATATCCCAAAAACCACTACAACCACAAGGACAGTTTGAGCTGTCTAAGAAAGAGAAACAATAAATAATGTGAAAAGGCTGTCACGTGATTAAGTTGTACCAATAATTACTAATGCACCATAAAAGCAATGAAAACAGAAAGGATATGTGTTGAGCAAATCCTCCAGTGGCTTGAGAGGTTTTATAAAATTAAAGCAAGGTATTATTTTATGATAGCAATTTAGCCCTTCAAATCCACAGATAACAATCCTAAGAACACTTAAGTTGAAGTAAGAGCCGTTCAATTCTGAATTATATCCTTAGGAGTGCTTTTCAAATTATCCATTAGCATGCTGAAAATTCTGTATTAACCTTGTCAAAACTTTTAAAACTCAAAGCCCCATGTAAACTCCTGGATCTTAACTAACCACGAAGAGATTTCAAACTGAGATGATAGTCACTGGTCCAGAAACTTTTAAGTCAAATGCCTATGCAGATAACCAATAGTCAATTTTCCACAGATTATCTGATTTGACAGTTGGTATCATTATCAAATTGAATAAAAACTTAATTTATCTTCATCCAAAAGGCTCTGATTGTCATTAATTTAACTAAGGAGTTTTTTTTAACCAATCAACTTGTGTTCGATGATCATCTGCTGATAATATAGAGTTATAATTCTTTCTGTCCATAAACCTAGCTAAAACAAAAGATATATTACTTACATTTAATTTATAGGTATCTTTACTTTGTCCTTTTTAAAAATCCTGAGGTGCATATGTTATAACTGATGACAGTTTAAAAAATGAGAAATGAGCCCTTTGAAAGTGGTAATTGCATATAATAGCTGAGAATCTCTTCCAACATCTTATTATGTTACAGCCATTATAGTCATTATACTGTTATTGATAGGATTTGCAACCAGGGAAATCCTACACTACTGTTATTGTTTATTTATTGTAATTTTATACATTTTCCTTAAAAAATAAAATATGTGAAGACTAATTCTATCAAACACAAAATACATTTTAAAACCATTTTTGTTTACACATCAAAGCCAGACTGTGAAACTTGTTTTTAATCACCCCCCAAATCCTGAAAGGACTCCAACATCTTAGATATTATTCAAGATTTCAGCCATTTGTATTATTCTAGTTTTAATTTAATTACATGGGGTTAAAACTATCTTGTTGGGACTCTGTTACCCAAATGAGTTAAAGCAGGGGTGGGACTCAATTTTTTTAACAACCGGTTCTGTAGGCGTATCCATGTGACTGGGTGGGCATGGCTTTTTTTGCAGCCCCCCACCTTGGTTTTTTGGGCCTTCTGGGCCTCAGGGAAGCCTCCTGGGGAGATTTTTTGCTCCCAGAAGGTTTCCCTGGGCTGAGAAAGAAAAAATGGAGCCTGGAGGGGGCACGCAGCACCCCCCCACCCTCTGTTTTGGAGCCTTCTGGGCCTCAGGGAAGCCTCCTGGGCGAAGCAGTAAGACAGGAGGGGAATCCCGGCACAGCTGACCATAGGAACAGCTAATGGTTGGGAGAGGAAAGAAAGAAATACCTTAAGGAGTGACTGGGCAGGGAAGAAACCTATCAGGATGTCGGGCATGTCCACAATGTTGGGCATGTGCGATAAGGACTGACTGGGCGGGGAGCGGAAGGGTGGGCAGAGAGGGGAGGGGCCAGCCAGGGGCATGATTTGCCGATTCTCTGAACTGCACAGAATCATAACAACCAGTTCTATAGAATCGGTCTGAACTTGTAGAATCCCACCCCTGGGTTAAAGCCATATCTTAAAAATAACACATGGAGAGACTATTAGACTTTTCTTATGAAAGTTGGTGTTGGTGAGGTATTTTAATTGGCAACTCCAATATAAGCTATCATTTTTTGTTTTATCATAGTATGACAAAGGGACTCAAACACATTCAGATTACTTTGTGACATACTAATTGGTTTAATAAAGATATTGCTCTACCATAGTTTGTTTTATTTAAAAAGCTATCTACCTTCTTCTTTGATGCTTCTGACTTCTTTGATATGTTCCTCAGCTTCTTATGTAGATGATTGAGGACCTGAAAAATATAAGTACCTTTCATATAATTAGTTTATTTGTATTTTTTTGCATTTTCTTTTAAAAAGGTATTAGTTGATTTTCACAGCAGAGATACGTCAACTGTATTCTATTACTTGCTAAATATATTAATTGTCCTCAAATGCAGAAAAATAATGTTTGAGGCACATGGTTTGCAAAACTCTATTGAAAAAAACTGGAACTCTTGTTCCAAATAATCTCTGTATAAAACATATGGCAACACATTAACATAATTGTTATTCACCTGTTGCCACATTCACAGTGATTAAGAGCATATATGCACATACCTGTCCTCTGTACATATCAGTCTGATCCTAAACCAGCTTAAGAAAATCCTAGTCAGATTGGCATCAGTTTATAAGTATTCATCTCATACTTCAGGCTATCGCTTTATCCCATTGGACAATTTGCTATGTCCACCTACTTTTAACTTCCAAATATGATTACAAACCCTTTTTATTTCTATGGGTGGATCTTCCTGGAGATCAGTATTTTTTTGTCTCTAGGCACACACACAAACTTATACATACAGTACACACACACATATAAATGATTGATATAGGTATAGAGAACACACAAATTAAATCTATATATGCAAAATTATTAAGATCCACATAGATGCAAGCATAACAAAAAAAAAATTAAAAACTTCATTAGCAATAGCACTTAGACTTATCTACCACTTCACAGTTTTCTATAGCCCTCTCTAAGCAGTTTACAAAATCCACATACAATCCCCCCAACAATCTGGTCTTCATTTTACTGAACTTGGAAATATGGAAGGCTGAATCAACCTTGAGTTGGTGAGAATCAAACAGCCGAACTACAGGCAGCCAGTAGGCATGCAGAAGTAGCCTGCGGTACTGCATTCTAACCACTGTGCCACCATGGCTCATGCTTACCTCTACATCTGTTTCAAAGGGCTGTTTTATTTCTATTATACTAGTAGAAAGAGTAGTCAGTAAAATTCTTTTTTATATAAAGGTAAAGATTGCCCTCGTACATACATGCTAGTCGTTTCTGGCTCTAGGGGGCGGTGCTCATCTCCATTACAAAGCCAAAGAGCCAGCACCATCCAAAGACTTTTTTATATAATGCCAGCAAATTTTGTTAATTCAAAATCCATCAGGAAAATGATTTTTTAAAGTATTATTGTTGTTGTCGTTCTTTTGCTTTATTTAATACATGCAATTCCATTGTTTCACTGATTTTCTGATTACCTGAGATGAAACAGTCTCACTCAGAGAAGCTGAGAATGAAGGCTTTCCTTCAGGTAATTAGAAACTGTTCATTTGGTGGAACTTCATTTAATTAAGAAAAAAAGGAAGAGAGAAGCTCAAAAATCATTATTAGAACAGTTGTTAGCACAGTCAGTTAGATGTTCAGATCATGCTGGCTGGGGAATTCTGGGAGTTGAAGGTCACAGGTCATAAAGTTGCCAAGTTTGGAAACCCCTGGTTTAGACTGTATTTGAGATTTTTATCCACCAATCGATCCCTTCTGAAGGACCTGCAATAGGCAGGAATTGTTTGATGGTTTTGAAGGCATTGTCGCTGGATGTAAGCTGTTCCAAGTAAAACCACCTTCTGCAATTGACTGATGATGATTCTTTGCAGAGTAGCCTTTGAACTACTGTACTTGGCTAGACTAAGGCAAACTATAAACACTCTGGAGATGTAGTCTTCCTACTTTTATTTGAGGATAATCATAGTACAAATGTTTCACAGCAACTTTGTGATGGTTAGTAAGACAGACTAGATTCATTTGCCACTTTAAGAATTTTAAAACTGAAAAAGATTTGTTTATACAAACAGTTGAAGGCTAGCCAAACATTTTAGTTTTAGCTTTTAAACATTTTAGTTCAATGTAAAAATGAAGCATTATATGTCCGTTCAGATCCCTTACCTTTCCTATAAAATAAAATCAGCGGGATATATTTCCTTCTTTCACAAGTTCTTTTTTTAATTTTCAGCCCCAAACCTACATCTCACATCTATAAGTTTAATATGTCAGAAATATGCGTCAGTTGGTTATTGTGACATAGAAGTAAGGAAAAAGCAATTTATTGTGGTTATTGGTGGTGAGGAAAAGGTGAATATACTATGCAAAAATAATCTACATTATTTTTATTCACTTGAGATAGAAAGTAATCCTTGTATTAAGAATAGATGCAGGTTTCTTGCTAGTATGACTACTGCTAGAAATAAATACTGCTAAATATTATGATCATCTATTGCCTGTTGTAGATTATTACACCTGTGTATAAGAGCATAGAATTGTACACTGAAGAATACGTGCACTGAATCCTATATAATTTATATTCAAATTGACTTATGTAAGACTGTGCTGTTAGAGAATCAGAAAAAAATGGGCTTTTTTTCAGTTGACAAAAGAGGACTTTACCATGCATACACAAAATGGATAATACAGAAAATTAAGAAATCATACACAGGTGTAATTCTCAAATATATAGTAAAATCATCACATTTTCCATATTTTCCATACTTTCCTTCACCATAACTATAATTTTTAATGTACAGATTTTCATGTTGTAGAAAAAAATCCTTCTTTTTTCTATAAATGTATGATAGATATGTCTATATGTATACTACTTATTTAGACTTTTATCCTTTCCTGAGAGCAAAATTAACATATTTCTTTGTTGACCTTGTTTTTAAAAATAAAATAAAATACGCAGAGATAACTTAGATATGCCTCATTGTAAGACATTGCAAACCAATAAAACAAAATATTTCAATATTAATTTCCTTACTACTCTTTGAATGTAGGAAAACTTGAAGATTATTTCCATATGTCATTTTCATACACAGTAGTGGATCAAAACAGATATCATTAAAAAACAGTCATCTCTTAGAGGAACTAATCATTAATAGAGAAAATTATTCCACTTATAAAAATGCTCCTTGAGATTCAATGCAATGTTCTGTAATGTAGTAAAACTCTATTACTGGAGTGTTAAGTATGAAAAATATAGAAAGTAAGCAAAAGAACTGTTGGAATTTTTGTCAGGAAGCAAAAATATTTTTTTCTTGTTAATAAGAAAAAGAATATAGTACTTCAGCCCATTAATAATATTTTACAATTATTTATTTTAAATTACTGATTTTAAAATCTGTAAATTCAGCAAGTTTTTTTTTAAATAAAAGGTTCATTATTCAGAATTATTCTTGTTATGATTTATACGCTGTGCAATTACTTACCGCTTCATGACTTCCATAGGCTACATTTTACTGGGCATAATCACTTCTGTTCATAGATTGAGTATATTGAAATTGCGGCCCACTCTAACAGTTTTCAGCACAAAATATGGTACAATACCATAACATTTCCAAGGGAACAGCCTAAATTTCTCTCTATATAGCAAACTATATCTTTTGTTCATATACAAGGCTCTTTGGATCCAGTTCTCATTTTGATTATTGAATTAATCCTCCTCTACCATTTCAGCATTCAGACTAAGTACTGCTTTTAAAAACTATTTTTTCCTGGAACTTTTAAATTGTTTGTTGAGGTTATGAATCAATGAATGAATATGCAATAGTTGTAAAATGCTGTTTTCAGAATCAAGAATCAATAGAAATACATGTAAAATATTTTTAATTCTGGGAAAATGTAAAATAATAAATTGTATATAAATTGCCTAATTAGTATTTAAATACTACAGTAAATTTATAATAATCATATCTGAATAGTATTGTCTAAATTGTCTAAAAATAAAGCATTGTCTTACAAGTGATGTCACCAGTGCTTTTAGATAACTGCTTATGAGTTTGTTCAGTTTGTAATTAAAAACAGTAGGTATAAGTGGGAATGTATTTGGCAGGTAAATTATAAGCTAACATTGTCGGTCTCCTACAAAGAGAACTTATATAAAATGTTTTACCATTGGCACCTCCCGCCCAGCAAGAATAGCTAAAATATTTCCAAATATGATAGCCAAATGCTGGAGATGTAACCATAGTCAGGGAATGTATTTTCACATGTGGTGGACATGCCCTCAAGCATGGAGATACTGGCATAAAATTAAATCCTGGTTAGAGGAGTTAATGGAACAGAGAATCAAACTTAAACCAGAAATCTTCCTGTTAGGCATGCTAAAGCCTAATCTGAAAAAAAAAAAAACACCAATATTTAATGCTCCACATTATAACTGCTGCTAGAATTTCCTTTTCCCAAAATTGGAAACAGGCTACGACCCCCCCCCCCCAAAACAGCAATAATTAATAAGATATACAAATGCGCCGAGATGGACAGATTGATGAAGACATTGAAAAATAAGGAAGAAGAATACTATAAGATATGGGATATTTGGTACGAATGGATAAGGCAAAGACACAAAGGCATCAAATGATAATGTGTGAGAAATCACAAAGTAATAAGGCTCATGTGTAAATTAATGTATATATGTATATATGTATAAAATGCTTAGAATGATGAAGAATGAAGATTTAAATATAGAGATGGATAATACAGTAATAGAGGATATTCACAAATGTAAACACTGTTATAGTAACGTTGCAAAATGTGAAAATTTATTTTTAATTGTTGAAACATTGAATAAACAAATTATTTAAAAAAAACAGTAGGTATGATTTAAACATAGCTAGTAATAGCTAGTATTGGAATCAATATGATAAATTAAATGGAGCGGTTTATCTATCCATCCATATTCATTCATTTCTTCTTTCCTTCATTCATTCAACAACAGAAAGGAAAATAATCATTGAAGACCATCCTCCGGAGAAACAAGTCAGACTTTTGCAACTCATCTGTCCTTCACTGCTATATAAAAATAGATTCTTAAAAAAATACCGCACCTAAAGTAATTTATCACTGCTTGCCCAGTAAGGTAAGAAAAAAAGATTGTTTCAGAGAATGAAGAGAATTGGTGATTGAAGCAAATTCAGCTATTTTCCAGTTGAGAAAAATTCACATCAGTGTTAAAAGGCTTTCAGATTT